TTTAAAGGTTTGAAGAGGGTTTTTTGACTCCTTGTTTAATGAAGAAAAGTGCTTGCGGTAGAAGGGGCTCAAGATTTCACCAGAGACTTTTTAATAAATCAAACCTTTTAATGATTTGGGGTCTTATCTGCAAACTTTTGGAAGCAGTCACAAATGAGACCTGTTATTATATGGTATTTGGGGTGGGAGGGGTGGGCAGGGTTCTAGACAGTATTTACAAGAATCTGATTCTTATTTCCCAGGGAAATTCTGGGCTCTCACAAAATAAAATAATCATCTTAGAGAAAGAATGGGCAAGACTAGTTCTTGCTCCTGAATTGTACAGTATTCACCGTAGGTTGATTTTTTTTCTCTCCTTTTGCAATCGAATACATTTTTCATGCATGTTTTCCAGAAAATAGAAATGAGTATTAATGTTATTAAAAAAGATTATTTTTTTTATTAAAGGCTATTTATATTATAGAAACTATCATTAATATATATTCTTTATTTCCATGATCTGCCCCATAGTCATGCATTGTTTTGCACCCCCAAACTTTTTACGTTCGTAGCAGCATGGTCAACTTTTCTCTCGGTCTGCGGGGGAGGCTCAGGCACTGTCCCATTTATACCAACAACTAGTGTGTAACTATTTAAGGAGAACAAGTTCCTCTTCTTTTGTTTTTGTTTTCACAGGCATCCTCCATCTTCCATCCTCTTTTATACTTGAGATGTCTCAGTCATATGAAATTAGGTACCAAAATTAACACTTTAGAATATCTTCTCAGTTGCTTAAACCCTCTACCGAGGTATGCTCTATAGAGACAGCGAACTTTAGACCTGTTAGACTATTTATCCAACAATTCAGTATAAAAGTAGGACCTTTAAGCCACCTTAAGACCAAGTCCATTTCCAAGTCATCAGGGCTCCACCTCTCTTAAATCACCTTAGAGCACAGGATACCCAAGATGTAGGATCTATTGCTAGTCACCCATTCTGATATTTTACTCAGTATTTAAAATAAATGATTAATATCCTAGGAAATAGGTTTAGCAAATGTCCAGGTGCCACACCAGAAAAAGTGCAATAATTTACTGACAGTTTTCTAGATTAGATATAACATTGGAATACAACTTTATTTTTTTTAAAAAAAAACTGTGTACATGGTATACTCTAGTAAAACAGCATCACTTAAAAAGTATTTATTTATGAAATCAATTACCTATAGTAGAAGTCTTGAATTAATGAACAGGGGACTCTAACTCAAATGCTCTTAATACTTGGCTATTTTAGAACCCTTAAAGGGAATAAGCATTGGAGATTTAGGTACTTCTTTAAAGCATGCATATACTATTGCCAGCAAGAAGAAAAATTGAAGACTAGGGGATCTTTATGTATAAAGTGTCTTGGAATAGTTGCAAGAATTTTAACTCTGTCCAAATAGGAAACCAGAAAGATTATTGTGCAGATATTGAAGTTCTGTAACTTATTAAAATATCATAGTATTTTAATCCTTAGATATATTCAGTTAGTGACGTCCCAGTCTTTTCCATATCAGGGATTGACTACAGGAAAACTCAGTGAAATGGTACAAATCTTAAACATTAGTGGTGGAAAATGAAGACATTACAGAGAACTGTGGTTTGTTTATCTGAGTGCCAAAAAAGCCTGGAGCTTCCTTCACCAAATTTGTGCAGCTTTTTCATTTTTCACCTCAGTCCACATAGTTGTCCCCATCTCTCCCCCTGGGACCCCCTCCACCATGAAACATAAGCCACATAACTTATTTTCACCATTTACTTTTATTTTCAAGAGTCACAACAACCAAATTCTGTTTGAAGAAATACAAATTTCATAGAAAATAATGATGCAGCGATCTAATAGTGAATTTTAAATAAATCCAAGCAAATTTTAAGCAGATAACATTAAAAATAAGGGGTGGGAGGGTGGGGGGTTTGGGTGGGGATCTGCAGTGTTTAGAAGGCGAACATCCAGAACTTGGATTAAGTGCTATATTGGGTCAACTAGGCTGTATTTCAGGTTAGTGTTTATTGAGCCCCTGTGAGGCGTCAAGGTACTTGAATATCGGATCAATTTCTGTGGGTTGGTCAGTTTCAATAACCTGCCATGCTTATCACTGAATGGTATGACTCTTGGCTTGCGCCATTTGTATCTGGCCACTTGAGAAATTTTTCCTTCAGTAGCTGTCTTGGAGGGGCGGGGGAAGCAGGTAAAGAAAAAAATGAAGCCTAATTTTGAACACTTTTTAGCAGGAAATTATCAACTGTTTGAAAATCATGCTTTAACTTTTTTATCATATTCTAAAATATATGAAATTGTTTATTTTGAAGATTTTTAGACTGCTGTTAGTTTGGAATCTGTTCATTATATTGTGGAATTTCATCTTTTTTAAAAGATGTTTTTAATTGGGTTTTTTAAAAATGAATGGAATGTGGTCGCTATTTTACAATAGAACCTAAGTTTTTTGTGGTTGTTAGTGTCCTCTGTAAAATGTAGTGTCCAAGGAATCAACTTTGAGGTTTTCCCTTCTAATTGGCTTTATATTATAAGCCCTTTAGGAAGTGGGAACCTGGTGAATATAATACAATGAATTGTAAAATATTTTCATGTGTGACTTTTTCAACTGTGAAACTATGACTATTGGTTTTTTTTGATGAACACAGCTGCTGATAAAGTATTTTGTGTAAAGTCTAGTTCTTAATAATCAGGAAAATAATGATTTGTATATACCCTCTTAGATTTGACTTTATTTTAAATGAGTTACTGATTTTCGCTTAAGTAAAACACGGTCCACCTGTATTTTTTCCCATCAAAAACTGTGATTTGGCATTATTAACAAATTATAAGTAGCCTACCTATTGTAAAGGCACCCTGGAAATCTCATAGTGTAAATTTCTTGATGACTGTGTAAGTTCCTCTCTTTCATATTCTGGTTAGTAACCCATATTTGCCAACTCGTTGATATTTCATTTCCAGCATCATCCCAGAGCTAGCAGGTTAACTTTTTCTGAGTGTTTTGAGTTCCATGTCTTTGTGTCTGCACCAATTGCAGTCTTAGGCTGGACCCACATGTTCAGAATCCACCTTCAAACAATGATACTTTCATGTCTTAAGACATTACTGAAATCGTTTTAAAGGCCGTATGTGGTCTTAATGGATTGTGGTGCTTCTACTAATTTAAAGACAACTTTCATACTTCAGATGTTTTTGAGACGAGGAAACTGGAGGAAAGGACCAGGAGTAGTGGGAGTTGGTTGGATGAACTGCATTCTTCTCATCACGGCCTAGCTGGTTACTGTCTGAGAGAAGGCTGAAAGTTGCGCGAGTGTATTGTACAGGAAATTGACCACTTCATCAAGGATGGGATTGTGAAGGCTGAACTGTCGTGTTAAACACTGACAAGATCCTCAAAGAATAATTCTTGATGACGAAGAATAATACAGCTGGGCTATTTTTAAAACTATAAACACAAACCACTTTTTAAATTATCATATTAAAAATTGTCATTACGTCTTATGTGCCGTGGCTTGAGAAGCCTTTTTTATCATTTAGAAGTTAACTTTTCCTTCCTGCAAAAGTGGTGGGTTGAGCTCAAAAAAACTATGGTCTCAATAAAACTGTTTTTGTAACTCTACCTCAGAAGGAAAAAAATAAATAATGTTCAAAACTTCAGGCTCTTGATGTTTCAGGCATCTTCAGAGCACTGTGAGATTTGTAAAATTCGAATTGGCGTGTCTGCTTTTTAATGTCATTGGAGACATTATAAAGAAAATTTGGTTCAAGTCAAATTACTGACCTAGTCATTTGGACTAGTGCCAGGAAGTCCATAGTCCTAGCTTCTTAAATTTGACACTTGAAATTATTCTTCACTGTGACTGAAGTAAGTGTTTGCGCAGTACTTGTGGACACACGGCTTGCCAGCCCCAGTCAAGAAGCGTCTGGTATAGACATCAGGGTTCTAAGATCGACTAGGAGTTTCCCAGGTCGGGGTCAGTTTTTAAAGAGGCCCGCTTCATCCGAGTGTTGCAGCTGATGATGCAGCTTCGTGCTATTTTTTTCAGCATAGCTCCATTCTTTTGCTGGGCTTTAGGTTTCTTGCTATTCAAGTCATGGTAGTCAGCATAAAGTGGCAGTTAACGCGCCGTAAGGGAAGGGTCTGACAGCTTTCACACAACCACATAGAACAGTTTTCATTGGCCCGGAATCCGAGCTAGGAAGTAAGATCGGTTCATGGTGCATTTAGCATAGGTGGGTAACTGATTTTCACTGCCAACCATAGACTCCATTTGTTGTGTTAGGTGAAAAATGGTTTTTAATGCACTTCATAAGATTCTAGTTTATCTAAACCTTAATCTGTTGCTATAGTGATTTTGTGGTTATGCTAAAAGCTAGTATGTTTTTAAAGTGATTCTTCTTCCTCTGGGATTCGCAAGAAGGCAGAAAATCTTCACTGTTTTTTATTTCTTCAAAATATCTTTAGTGAACACTAAACTATAGTATGAATTTCCAAATGTGGTCATTGCTGTTGATTCCACGAGAAAAAGCCCTTCATCATATCTAATTTCTGTTCTTAAATGTAGTTGGAGATTTTTGACTGTCTGGTTTCCAGAATGTTTTTGGTTATGGGCCATAAACTTCAAATGCAGGTAACGGCTTCCGTCTGATTCAGGCCCCAAACTTAACTGTGTTAAATAAAAATCTAAAAGAATATATTCTTTTGTAACATAACACTTTAATATCTTGGGAGACTATAGCACTAACATAAAAATTATTACCAACACGTCAAATATTTTGACTTTGGGACCGTCAAAAACAAAGCTCCAACCACCCTTTCCAGCCCCATTTATTTATAACAAATCTATTTGCATTTTGTTTTTCAGTGAACTGAAGTCCTGTGCTTTTCCACAGTAGTTAGGAAAAAAATGCTTTAAAATATTTTTTAAATGATGGCCCAGAAAAGTATTCGGCACAGCAAGATGCATGTGTTACTGTAATGAAAATATGGGATAATAGTGTCACTGAATTTATGCCCTCTCCCCAGTCTTGCTGTTTCTAGCAAGAAGTTTGACCTGTGACTGCACTTCCTGTTTGTGCTCATCAGAAACTGTTAATGTCTGCTTTTCTTTACCTTTGCAGTCTGTAACATCACACTGTTTATTAAAAAAAAAAAAATCTCCTTGTGTTCAAGCAGTCCTTAGTGTGCTACATTTTAAGCAAAAATTTGGGATCATTACAGTTCACCATTTCTTTTGAATACTTAAAAACAAATCAGTGTAAACAATCAAATTTTAACTGAATTTGAGTTCGTACCTCATGATTAAGAAAAGTTGATTGGAAAAACAAACTAGTATGCCCGAAACGACGCCATTCAGGTCTCCCAAAGAAGAATAGAAAGAGCTATGCTTGGAATATCACGTTTCACTCAAATGAGAGAACGAATCCGGAGTTCTGACATCCGTCGATGATCAAGGATCAGGGACGCTGTCTCATATGCCAAGGTGTCGAAAATCAGATGGGCTGGTCACGTAATGAGATTTAAAGACGACCGTTGGACTAGAGCTGTTACTGATTGGATTCCACGGGATGTCAAGAGACCGCGTGGCCGCCCACCTACCAGATGGTCAGACTTCTTTGTCAAGATCATGAACGATCGGTTTGAGGCCCTCCATGTTCCCGGAGCGAAGAGATGCCATTGGGCTACACTAGCACGCGACAGGGACAAATGGAGACGTTACTGGCGCCCGCTCGAGCAAATCGACGACTAACGGGAAGTTAAGTGATTAAGTGATGCCCGAAAAGCCAGTTTTTCTGCCCTGGTAGAGCTATGAATACTAGAGAAATGCAGTTATAGATTAACTTCCTTCAAGCATAAAGGATTTTATAACTGGCATCTTAAGCAGAAATATGCAGAGACTTACTTGTACGAATGGCTTTATATATGGAGTTAGACACTTTTTCAAGTTAGTTGAACACCAGAACTTGAACCGTTAAGGCGAACTAGAAGCAAACTGGTTTCGCTTTTTCAATGATCATAATCTTTGCAAAAGGTAAATTTGGGCTTTCACCAGTAAGGCATGGGGACATTGCTTTTAAACAATTTACAGCAAATAATCACTTAACTTGTGTTTATTTACCAAATGGTGTGAATAACTTTGTTAACATGGTTCCAAATTAACTTTATTCCCCAAGAATAATATTTGTCTTTCCTGAGAGGAGCCAAATGCCCATTCTATGAATGGAAAATTGTAGTAACTGAAACACTTTTCGGTTTTACACTGAGAGTTCCAAATGAGTGCTCTTGAGTTTGGTAGGAGGGAAAAAAAATCACAAGAAGGCTGGAATGGTGCTAAACTCACTAAAAAGTGAAGTAGAGGTGTGCCCTTCATTTAAAAAACTACAGAAATTCATTCTGCAATTGATTTAATATGTATAAAAATACAAGGAAGTCTTTAGTCTGCAAAATAATGTATCACACCTCTCTAAAATGAATATTCTGGGCCTTAATTGAATATATTCTGATTTGGGGCCACACGTGGTGGTCCTGCGGCTTCTTCCTGGCTCTGAGCTCAGGGATCACTCCTTGAAGGAGACCCCATGGGACACAGGGATCAAATCCAGCTCGACTGTGCCAGGCAAGTGTCTTAGCCACTGTACTGTGTCTCCAGCGCCATGTTCTGGACTTGAGATGCCTGTCAGGTTTAGCCAGCCCGTTCCTGCAGCTCCCTGCCCCGACCCACTTAGTGAAAGTCACCAAGACTGATAATTTATTTTTTAATAATAATCATACCCATTCAACAGGATGGCTCAATCAATGCTTAGGCCCAACACTGCACCAGTCAAGCTGGTAATAATCAGGAGCCGCCACAGTCCCATCTGGCAGTGCACTGGGAGCTTAGGCGGGGGTGCGAGGGTAACGCAGAGGGACGTGGTGTCAGTGGTCGGTTGGTGTGTCGTGTCGAGCATGGGCTCCACCACTTTGAGCATATTCCCGACTTCTAGACTTCTAAAACTAAAGCACGTTGGTTTTCAGAACCAAGTTTTCAATCCATAGTGCAGTTAGCGTAGCAATTGCTTGTGGCGTCTTATTTAATAACCGTGATAATTAAAACATAGACAAGCAGTGTGGAGCTTTTCTACACTTTCTAATCCCCCGTGTGGATTAGCTGAGGTTAATTCTATGCAGGACAGTGTCTACCTGTTTCTCAGCACATCTCGAACCCTCTCTCCCATTCCCACCAGATTGTGCAGAAAGAACAAAATGAGCTCATGGGAGGCTAATTTAAGCAGAAAAGAAAACTTGCTGAAAGAAAAATTACGTGGTTGATAGCAAAGTTCAGTACAGCAACTCTAAACTTAGTATCTTTTCTGTGTGCCGAGTTCTTCCTCCAGCATGAATTTGGAACTGAAACGGGAGACTCGGGTTTTGTGAAGTTGCCAGATTATTCTCTTTCTGTGGTGAATGAAATCTCAGACTTTTTTGAGAAATGTTCTTATGTTTATTCTATTTACAGTGTCTGTAAGTAGGCTGATTGTGCATTGCGCAGTAGATTAGACGCCCTTGTTGTTTACCAGTTCCAACTGGAACTGAATTCGAGTGCAGCTACCTTGAGATGTTTTTGTCATGTGATAACAAAAAACGCTTCCTTAGTTCACATGTAATGGAACTTGGGAGAACAGATAGGGAGTGCTCATGCATCTACAGCCTAGAGTACATAATGAAGACTTCCTCTACAGTTCTTTCGCGGACCCAGGGAGATAGAGGGCCAGGTTTGGTTTCCAGCACCACGTGGTCCTTCACACTGCCAGGAGAAACCCCCAAGCACGGAGCCAGGAGTAAGCCCTGAGAACTACCAGGCCCCAAAACCCAAGTAGATAAGTGAATAAAGTGCTGCTTTCCTTATAGAAATAATCACACTTCCTGTTCCTCCATGGTTCATTTGCTGAAGGCATCATTTGCTCTTCCCCCCAGGCGCAGACCGTAAGGATTGGGGGACCAGGGCTTTAACCTTGTCACCATTGTTGCATTTCCCCGCTCCTTCCTTTCCTCCCCCGTGTATTGCATGGTTTGAGTTGATGCAGTTCCGTGTAGGCTACTTGGCCACCCACCTCATTCCTGTGTGCAGAGCTGTATTTCTCGCACAGCAGGGACAGGTGCTGTGTTAATCTCACCATGCCAACAATCAAGGCCCCACCCAGCAGAGTCAGCGAAGGCCAAAACACACAGTGGAAGATAATCATGGGGTCATACTTGTTCATGAGAACAACATCTTCTGCTTGGCTGCCTGGACTGTAGAAGCATGAAAACGGGGTCCCATTTTTGTGATCGAAGAATTCCTTTATGTCCAAAGCACTGTTGAGTAAGTCATGTCTATCTCGGTGGCACTTAGGAGTGTAAAAGCACTGGGGACATGGAGGAGGAAGAAAGATGAGGATGTTGCCCCTGACCCCCAGGCACTTACACAACAATTTTCCATCTGAAACTGCCTTCTGGTATAGCTGTTGGTGGAGACTGCTGCTCTCGGAAATGACTGCACTCAAGGGGATGTGTTGGCAGGAGCGCCCAGATTGAGATGGCCAGTTCAGGCACTAAGCAGGGATGTGGGAAGGAATTCTTAATCAACAGATGTACCAGAAGAGGCGATGACCAGCTTCAGAAGGACTGTGCTGCTCCCTAAGCTGGCCTTTGGTCTCTTCCTGGACCGTCTACTTGGTTAATCCAGTTGTTCACTCAACTAAATGTATTGATCTCTATGTAATTTCACTACCTCCATTGTCTGAATATTGCCTAATTTCTTAGAGTAAAAATCTTCCCTGAAATATAACATGGAGATTTTTCCCCTTGACCCTCAGAATGGCCGAAATTTTGATTCCTGCAAGGCAGAACCAATAGGGGAAAAAAGAAGGCTCTCAGCTGGTTTTTGTTTTTTGTTTTGTTTTGTTTTTAAAGAAAAAAGAGAAAACAGTAGTTAAAGCACTTGCCTTGTACACAACTGATCCCAGTTTGATCCCCGGCACTGCATATGGTCCCCAGAGCTGATCTAGAAGTGATCCTGGAGCACAGAGCCAGAAGTAAGCCCTGAGTAAAACCAGGGGAGTACAACCAGGGGTGAACCCAAAAAACCCCTTCCCAAAATAAAAGGAAAAGTCTGAGATTTATTGTCATTATCTGCTCTGCACTGGAGATACTGTGTCATGCTTATAAAAAATATTTGAGGCCTTTCAAAATAATTGCTCCAAGTGGGGGAGAGAGTACAGTAGGTATGTACTTCACGTGGACCCCCAACCCATCCAGGGGTGATTCCCGGTGCAGAGCCAGGAGGAACCCAGAGTACTGATCACGGACCCACAAAATATAGATAAGTAAAAACTATTGCCTCAAAAATAGAAAATAGAAGTCACCGAATGAAAGTGATTAAGGAAGACAACAAAGGGTGACATATCAGCTGAGCTCATGCAACTCAACTTCATGGTAGCATGTAAACGTAAACTTCGAATCCCATTAACCACCTAAGTAACCTTAAAAGCAAACTCATAATCTCTGAAGGGTTTTTTTCTTAACAAGAAAAAAGGCTTGCAAGATGGAAGGCTTCTCTGTCCCCGACTTCAAGCTCCAGTGGTACTGGAATGAAGACGCACCTCAGACCAATGGAACGGAACTGAGTCCAGAAAGACATCCACGGGTATATAGATGGTTAATCTTTGATAAAGAAGCAAAAAGTATAAAGTGAAGCAAAAAAAAAAAAAACCTCTTCAACAAATGGTGTTGGGACAAGTGGTTGGTCACATGAACCCCCCCCCACCAAAAAAAAAAAAAGAATGCAGACTTCTTTCTAATACCATAGACAAATTCAAATAAAAATAAAAGACATCACTATCAGACCTGAATCCATAAATTATATCCAGGAGAACATAGGTAGAGCACTTCATGGCATCAAAGCTAAAGATTATCTTCAGTGACTCATGCAATTGACTAAGCAGATGGAAACAAAGATGAATGGGATTACATCAAACTAAGAAGCTTCTGCACAGCAAAAGAAGCAAGGACCAGAACAAAGAGACACCCTCAAAAATCCCAGAAGAGAGCAACACATTGCAGAGATGCCTCCTCACCTGTGCCAAGCTGACTTCACTGGGGGCACCTCGAGTGGTGGGTGAGCCTATCCCAACAGAGTCCTGCCCCCACAGAGCCCCGGCAGCCCAAAACCTCCAGAACCCAATCATCACCATGCCTGTAGCCGATCTTCACAGGCTTGGGATGAGCCCCTCACACGTGAGAATATATACACTGAAAAAAAACCTGGTATGTGGGTTTTGTGATGAAAATCTCCAGGCTCTCGCAGAGTAGGCAATGGGTGCCCTCTACCCATCTCCCTGTGCTTCTGGGAGCCTGGCAGCCATGCCCACGAACTTCCTCTGGGTGCCATATAAATTCTTTAATGGCCATGATCTAGAGATTCACAAATAATTATCAGAAGAAAGCAACACACTGCAGATATGCCTTCCAACCTCTTAAGTGCCATTCAATTAAAAATTTAACTCCAGTTCTAAAACCCTATTTAAAGTTTTAGAATTCTATACCCCTAAGGTACAATGAGTAGCACACCACATTTGATGGGATGTAAAGTAGAAGGCAACCAATCTTGATATATATATATATATATAGATATAGATATAGATATAGATATATATTAGCTCAACCTGTAACCGCATGTTAGTGTTAGTGATACAGGGGCTTAATGGCTCCAAGAGAGATATACAACAATTTTCACACATTTTCCTCTAAGGAAACCTTTTTAGATCACTTTTAGTGGATTATTCATAAGAAGCAATACAAAATATTTAGGGTTTGCCTTTGGAACAGGCTTGGGTGGTGGTGAGAAAATTCGAAATAATGGTGGTGGGAAGGTATAATGGTGGTGGGATTGGTGTTGGACTGTTGAATGTAATAAATTATTGTGAACAACTATAAAAATGAAAAGATTTTAAAAGACACCCACAGTGGGAAAGGATACTTCCCACCACTCATCTGATAAAGGGTCAATACCCAAGATACATAAAGTATTGGTAGAACTATATGAGAAAAAAAAATAACTCCAAAAAATGGGAGTGTGGGACACAGATAAACAGAACATTCCTGAAACATAGCTAGCCAAATTTGATCAACAGCACTTATTATCAGGGAAATGCAAATGAAAACAACAATGAGATATCGCCTCATTCTAGTCAGTGTTGCACTAATAAAATGAACAAAAACAACCAGGGTTGGCACTGATGTGGAAAAAAAGGATCCCTCTTTTACTGCTAGTGGGAATGTTGACTGGTCCAGCCTTTTTTGGAAAACAATCTGAATACTTCTAAAAAAGTCAAGCTCATTTATGGCCAGCAGTTCCACTTCTTGGAATGTATGCCAAAAGACCAAAAACTTTATTCAGAAAAGATCTTTGCATTCCTATGTTTGTTGCAGCACTTCTTATAATTCTCAAAATCTGGAAAAAACCCAAGTGTGCAAGAACAGATTACTAGATAAAGAAACTATGGTACTGGGACCAGAGAGATAGTACAATGGGTGGGATACTTGTCTTCTTTGTAGCTGACCCAGTTTCAATCTCTGGCACTCAGATGGTCCCCCTGAGCCCTGCCAGGGGTGGTCCCTGAGCAAAGAACCAAGAGTAAGCTCTGAGCACTGCCAAGTATGGCCTAGAAACAAAAAACTCTGGTACATATACACAACAAAATACTAGTCAGCTGTAAGAAATGCAATTAATGATACATGGATGGATCTAGAGAATATCATGATGATAGGATAGGCCCAGGATGATCTGTCATATGTGGGGTATTAAGAAACAGTGGAGAAATAACAAATAACCAAAGGCAACAGAAACCAAGTACTGGACTTGAGTAGGAAGCTTACCACTGGAGTGAATGAGGGTATTGAGTGGGGACACTGGACGATGGAGTGGGTAGTCATTAACAGTATGCCAACCACGATGCCTAAGATTTTTTCAATTTCAAAAAGACAAGAAAAGTGACTTGCTTGATTTTAAATAAATTCAAAAGTGCATTTTAGAATCTGTAAGAGACTGAGTGGGACCTCTCGAAGCAGAACTGCCTACAAATGAATCTGTTTATTGGCTCAGCCTTTAAGTGCTGACTCCAACTTGTGATATTGGAAAAATTCCCCCTCCTGACTAGACTTCCCATTTTCCTTCCAAGAATACTTTTGGCTTCAGTTATCCTCATTTGACCTCTGTCAAACAGTCCCAAGCCAGAAACAGATTTACCTCTCAAACACCCTGCTGAGGGCAGTCTGCCCCGAAAAGATCCCTGTGCTCAAGACTCTTGGCTCTAATTGCTGTGCTTGGCACACTTCCTAACGTCTCTGTTACCTTGGAATTGATCTGCAGCGCCTCTTCGTTGTAGTGTAGGAGCACTTCCTGCCCCGAATGGGTGAGATTCACAAACACCTGAAGACATGGGTACCTTCCCTGGCCCCGGCAGTCCATCCCGCACGTGAATGCACAGTCCATCCAGTCTTCTGTGATGTGTGTGTGCAAGAGAGTGCAATTCGATTCTTCTCTCTGAGTGCTGCAAGTTGAAAAGAAGAAATGAGAATTGAGTTTTGCATGTCTAACATGGCAGCCTGAGGCAGGTGCCTGTTTCAAGGCAGTCAAGGACCTTCAGTGCTGACGCAGCACTTTCAGGGCATGGAAGACGTGGAGGAAGGCAGGGAGAGCCAGCAGAAAATTACAGTCTTTCTTCTCCAAGTCTCCGTCAGACCTTCCTCGCCACATCTATCCTCTATATTGTTCAAACTGCAGAAGCATCCAAATGTGTTTGGTAGAATGACAAATTTTCTAAAACACAGACTCTACAGCAACATTTCCCAACATCTGGGTTCATTTATTTTTCAGAAGGCCAGCAATCTGTATATTTTACTGTTTTTTAATATGCACATATTTAGAGAGCTTCGGCAATATTACCCTATACACTATAGTCACCACGATTCTCTCTCTCTTTCTCTCTCTCTCCCCCCCCCCAACTTACCTCTCATGCCTCATCATCTCAAAAACACAAACCCTTTGGCTTCTCTTCGTAGAAATACACCTTTGGACAAACCAGCCACAAGATCCCATAAGTCAACACAGACTGTGGACATTTTCTACAGAAGTAGAAACCTATTCTACTTCCAGAGACAAATGAAAATCTTATAAGCAAGAAATTACCTATTAGAAAAGTTACTATGTTGGGCCATAAAGATAGATGAATGGTCTGAGAACACGTTTTGCATGCATGTGGCCTGGTTCCATCCCTGGTATCTCATGGGCCACTGACCACCTCTGAGAACAACCCCCAATCACAGAGCAGGGAGAATCTCCCCCCACCGCAGCATCATTTGGGTATGGTCAGAGAAAGAGAGAAAGAGAGAGATTCAGTTATTTTTATTATCAGTCCCTTGAGGTGATTTTTAGCTACATCCTATTTACCTTTAGAAGTTATTTACTTTTCTAAAGGTAAATAGGATCTAGCTATTTACATAAAGTAGAAAGCATCCTGCTTCTCATATACAGATGATATAAAAGTTCCATAAATGGACTGAATTCAATTTGACTTGGAAATGTTCCTTGAGAGTGTGCCCATATCCTACATGAACAGAATGTCCTAGGTGCTAGAAGTCAAAGACAAAATTCCCACTTGTGAAGACTTTGATGCCATTTGAAAAGAAAACACACAAGTACATGAAGTCATTAGGGAGCCATTTCAGGCTAAGGTGCAGAGGGGTTGCTGAGAGAGGTTTTGACAGACCCTGTAGGATCAGATCCTCATGGACTCCTGTACTCACTCCTTGGCGGGCCCTATGTTTCCTAAACACAAGTTCAGTGAACAAATTCTGAAGTCAAAATGTTCAAAAATACTGCTCAGAGAGGGTTAGGGTGCACTCCTGGGATCTCAGACCACATGTAACCATTTTTACTCACTAATAAATTAAAGCTGAGTCACAGAGTGAAGCTGAACATGATCTCCAGATCCAGGATATAAAACGCTGCATGGAGCCTTAGAAAAACAATGTCTTAAGTTAGCAAATAAGTTTCTGCTATGGGTTTAGCACCAGACTTCTGTTGGTTTTTCATTTTGTTTGAGGGCCCCATCCAGCAATATTCAATACATATTTTTTTCTATAAGGGCCAGGCCAGAGCCTGTCACAGGAACCAAAGATATATTTAGATATAATTATTCAGAGCTGAAATAAATGGGCACATTAACTGAATGAGCAATTAACTTGCCTTCAAACAGGCAAAGTCCATCATTTTATTGGGAGACAAGGACTTCATGAAGAATGAATAGGTATAAACAGCTTTTATGTGTCAGGTAGACATGGCCAAACTCAAAACACTCCAACTCAAGGACATCCAAATAGGAAAGAGATAGAACTCTCACTATTTGCAGATGAAATGATACTATATTTAGAGAACCCTAAAGCCTCTACCAAGAAACTCCTAGAAATAATAAACATGTATAGGAAAGTCGCAGGCTATAAAATCAATACCCAAAAGTCCATGGCTGGGGCCAGAATGATAGCACAGTGGGTAGGGCATTTGCATTGCATGTGGTCGACCCGGGTTTGATCCCTGGCATCCCATATGGTCCCCCAAGCACCGCCAGGAGTAATTCCCAAATGCAAAGCCAGGAGGAACCCCTGACCATCGCTGGGTGTGACCCCCCCAAAAAAAATCTAAGTCCATGGCTTTCCTATACACAAATAATGAGAGAGAAGAAAGTGATATGAAAAAGGCAATCCCGTTCACAGAAAAATCAAGTACCTCGGAATCAGCTTAACTAAGGAGGTAAAGGACCTGTACAAAGAAAACTACAAAACGTTACTTCAAGAAATAAAAGAGAGGGTCTGGCGCGATATAGCACAGCTAGTAGGGCGTTTGCCTCACACACTTGGCCGACCCAGATTCAATTCCCAACATCCCATATCGTCCCCTGAGCACCACCAGGAGTAGTTTCTGAGTACATAGTACATGAGCCAGGAGTAACCCCTGTGCATCGCCAGGTGTGACCCAAAAAGCAAAAAGAAAAGAGAGAGGACATGAGGAAATGGAAACACATTCCCTGCTCATGGATTGGGAAAATTAACATTGTCAAAATGGCAATACTCCCAAAGCATTATACAGTTTCTATGCAATCCCTATAAGAATACCCATGACATTCTTTAAAGAATTGATCAAACATTCCTGAAATTCATATGGAACAGCAAGCGTCCACGAATAGCTAAAGCAATTCTTGGGAAAAAGAAGATGGGGGCATAACCTTCCTCAACTTCAAACTGTACTGCAAAGTGGTAATCATTGAAATGGCATGGAACGAAAATAGACCCACAGACCAATGGAATAGGGTTGAACATCCTTACACACACCCTCAAATTTATGAGCATATAACCTTTGATAAGGGAGCAAGAGATGCAAAATGGAGCGAAGAAAGTCTCTCAAAACACTCCAGCTCAATGTGCTCACATAGAGGATCTTCTCCAGAATAACTGCATGTGAAAGCAGAATGTGTTACTTTAATGTCCAATTTGCAGTTACTTGTTGAGTAATGTTGAGCCTGAAGTTCGGAGATGGCAAAGCGAAGTGCTTCTTCCCAGCTCTTCCTTCATGCCCAGGTCGCCCAGCCCCGAGAGCAATGGTGAGTGGCCCTACGACCCCTTCCAGGCCCCAGCCCGGAGGGTTGAGAAAGCAAACCAGCCTCCTCTTCTCTCACGGGCATGGGGCTGATCTGAATTGGAAGTTCTCAGTCTTCCTTCTCTCTTCCTTACCTGAGTATGAAAGGCTTGAGGATGGTGGTTCCGAGCAGGAAGAACATGAGGACAGATGAGGCCATCATCACAAACCCTAGCAGCATGGCACGGTCCTCGCCCGCGCTGGACGGTAGCCTTGGGTGCGTGTCTGATGGGTCTCCATTTGGCTCTAGAGCTCCCTTCCTCGTGGAAGCAGGAAGTGCTGTCCTGAGGGGAGAGGAAAGAGGACGGTCCATTAAACTCAGATGGAAGTAGGAGGCAGGGTGAGGAGAGGACAGGGTGGACCTCGTTTGCTGCCCTCCTGACATGTGCGGGCAGGTTTGATGCGTCAATGACATTCCACATTCAAGTTGATCAAACTCTTTCTAGGGCCAGAACAAATGGTCCAGTGGGTTAGGTGCTTTGCCCTGCACACAGCTGACCCCATTGGATCCTTGGCACCACGTGAGTTCTCCTGAGCCCCATCAGAGGTGATCTCTGAGCACGGAGCCAGGAGGAAGCCCTGAGCACCTCCTGGTGTGACCCCAAAATGATGTGTTGTAAAGACTGTTGATGGAACAAATTAATACTGACTCATTGCCTGTTGGAAGGTCTTAGAGAAGAGTTTCAGCCCTGACTAGAAAAGGGAACCCTCTGAGAATTTTCATTTGCTTCCGGTAAACAAGTGTTATGGACTTAGTCATCTGTCGGAGATACTGTAGAACCTCCCTGGAAAGATGTCTAACATTGTCTTGAGAATTCCGTATGGAAAGAATGACGCTCCAAGTTTGCTTTGGAAGTGGTCATCCTGAAAGAGTTAGATTTGGCTCGTTTCTTTCTATCCAGATGTTGGAAAGGGGCTTCTAGGCGAGGGCCCAGTCCCCTCGGGGTGCTGAGAATTTGCGTGGTCCTCTCCGGCTCTCAGGCCCTCTCTGTCCATCCACAGCTCCGCCTTAGGCTCTCTCTCTTCCTGTCAATGTCTGTGCATCTCTGTGTCTCTCAGCTCTGTTTCTCTCTGTGTGTCTGATGGTCTATTTCTCTATTTCTCTCTCCTCCCCTACCCCTCCTCTGCTACCAGAAGCCATGATCAATGCTTTCACAATGGGGTGGCCAATGAGTAGTAAAAGTTAACACACAGATCAGAGCCTGGACAGCTCCCAGCCCTTAGCTGCGATTTTGTTATTTGTCTGGTCTTTTATGTTTGTTTGTTGGCCTCTGTAGTTTGTTTGTAATTTTTCAAGTCTTTGTGTGTATATGTGTGTGTGTGTGTGTGGTGGGGGGAGGGCTAAACTTTTTTGTAGGATAAGTTGCTAACACTTTAAGAATCATGACATTTCTCATAAAAAATGATCATTTCTGACTTGAAAACAACCACAAGCCCACATTCCTATTCCTGAGCAACTGGCCAGGCCATGGGACAGCTGTCCCTGTGGGTGGGGCGTTTTCTCCAATTTGCCACAGTCCCACCACATCCTGTGGCCTGTGTCACTGATTTGCTAGCCCCCTCCCACCAGTAAGCATCTGTGTCCAAGAGGTATTTGCATTTTAAGAGGCCAAATGAATCTTAAGCCAAACAACTGCAGCTTTAATGGTAGAATCTCTGGCTCCAGCGAACTGCATAAATGCTTAGCTAAGTCACAGAGACAACGACACTGAAAATGTGCTTGTCAAACAGGCAGACTGTGGGTCGGGCAGGGCACACTGGTGGAGGAAAGTTGACACAGGTAGAGGGGTTGGTGTTGGAACATTGTATGCCTGAAACTAAGTCATGAGTAACTTTCTCAATCACGGAGCCTTAATAAAACATTGAAAAGAAAGAGAAAATTAACAAAAATTGAAGCCTAGCACCAAATTAGTCAAAGGAATTGCTAGCTGATTTCTTTCTACAAATTTGTTCTATACTTGGAGCCAAAGCAATAGTACAGTGGGTAAGGCAAATGTTTGCTTTGTACTTGTTTGATTCCCCCATATCCCGTATGCTTCCCCAGAGAACCACCAGGAGTAATTCCTGAGTGCAGAGCCAGGAGTCAACACGGAGCATCTCCACGTGTGACCCAGAAAGAAAAAAACATCTATTCGATCCTTTATCCTGGATCCTTCCCCATTCCTCTCCCTGACTTTCTTTGTCCCCGGGAACATCTCCCAAAGGGAGCAGGGGTAACATCAAGCAATCCAGAGCCTTCGTTGGGAGCACCCCAGAGGGCAGCCGTGCCGTCACCATTACCACCACCACCCTTGTCTAAGGCACTAGATTTGGGAGCTTGGATCTCCTTTGCTGCTACTCACCCTCTGTCATTCCACCCTCAGAGAATAGGCAGGGAAACAACATGTAAAATTTTGATTCACAAATCTGGGAGGCTCCAGGGGCCCCTCCTGTGACTCATAGGCCAACGGGGCTATGTGGTGCCAGGAATCGAGCCCAGGCAAGTCGCCGTAGCCACTGAACTAGCTCCAGATCCCCCTGAAGTGAACCTTTTATTTGTTTTTCTTTGGGGGCTGCACCCAGCAGTATTCAGGGGATATTCACGGTTCTGTGTTCCAGAGTGACCTGACAGCATTCTGGGGGGACCACATGTGGTCTGAGGATTCAAGCTGGGGTCCACAAGATTCACAGCAAGTGCATCAACTCCTGAACTGTGCCTCTGGCTCTTCAAAGTTTGAAATATTTCATCAGCGGTTGACAAACGGACTTACCAATTTAATCAGGCAAACTGATTAAGAAAAGACAACCTTAAAAGAACTTGTAACTAAAGTTTCCATATTTTCTAGGTTTCTAGGACCAACATCTCTGCCTTTCCCCCTATGTCTTAAATTTGCACCTTAATTGGATTGGATGGTAAGGAATTACTTTTTTGCCACACCTGGTGGTGTGCAGAGCTTACTCATTCCTGGCTCTGTGCTCAAGGATCCATCCTGAGGCTGGAGTTATAGTACAGCGGGTAGGACGTTTGCCTTGCATGTGGCCCACCTGGGTTCGATTCCAGCATCCCATATGGTCCACTGAGCACCGCCAGGAGTAATTCCTTAATGCATGAGCCAGGAGTAACTCTTGTGCTTCGCTAGGTGTGACCCAAAAAGAAAAAAAAAAGGATCACTCCAGATGGTGTTTGGGGGACCCTATGTGGTGCCAAGGATTGAGCTGGGGCCAGTTGCATGCCAGACAAGGGCCATAACCCCTGTGCTGTCTCTCTGGTATATTTTAAGGAATTTTAAATGCTAACACCCAGGAGACCCAGGGTTGAAGAGGTTGATTATGAGCTATCACCAACAATACAATTCTATTTTTTAGTCTATTGTAATCTTTCTTTTTAAAAATTTTTTTACACTTTCTATGGTGGTTTCTCAAAATAACTAAAATTGTGATCTAGCAATGCAAAGGAAAAGATATCCTCATCCAATATACAGTGTAGTATTACCTACAAATGACTTGAATATGGAAACTGGTCATTGTAGGTAGTACATAAACATATGTTTATGGATAAATAAAGAAAATGGGAAATTTTATTTTACACTTTAATCCAGGAGTAAATCATTTCTTCTTCTTCTTCTCTCTCTGTCGCTCTCTCTCTCTTTCTCTTTCCTTTGAGGCACTGTGGTTTGCAATACTGTTACTGAAAGGTTAACATATATATCATTTGACCTCCTTCAGCACTCAGTAGCAATACAGATACAGCCATGAGACAGCCCCAATTGTAGTATTGTCTATTACACAAAGCTGGCTTAACCTGGTTCTGATCTAATTTAAGAATAAGACTACAGACCTGGCAGTATACAGGACAAGTGGATGCACCAGAGGGCCCTTCTGAAGAGGTTGTGTCATGTTGGGGTGGGGATGGGGAAGGAAACAATAAAATAATTGCTAAAAAGTGGAGTTAGCACCAGAGCACAACGTCTAGGGAGTTTGCCTTGCATCCGGCAGATCCAGTTCTTTCCCTGCCATCCATAACCCCATCTGATCCCTTGAGTCCTGCCAGGAGTGATCTTACGGTGAGAAAAAAATAGACAACAGAATCAGATCCACTCAAAACTTCCTATGATCTGACAAGAGCCATGATTGAGTACACCCTGAGAACAGTGGGCTGTGCCACGCCCCCCCCCCCGAAAAAAATAACTAATAGCTAAACTTAGATACACCAATACATTTTTATTCCTGTAATACTAACTAGATTCTGTTTCATAGCATGACGAACTGGACATCCACTCTGAGTGCAAACAATTCTGGTCAAGACTCTAAAAAAGAGTGGGAGAAACCCAAAGGAGCAAAAGTATGTGAGAGTAGAAACCCAGAGAGGAAAGAGAAAAATTACAATCTCCCATAGGATTACACAACCTTCAGGAGATCCCCAGAGAGTTTGTAGCCTGATTCACTAGCTGGGAAATCCCAAGTCCCAGAGCTAAGCAAGCAGCTCATTAAGAACTCAAGCTGGCAGCCCTCAGCTCCCGCGCAGAAACAAATCCTCCCCTCTCTGGAGAAGCTGAGCTCTGGCGTCTGCCAGCAGGAGCCCTGTCCCTCCAAGGAGGATGTGCTCTCATCCAGAAGTCATACTACGCATGATCAGGTCTTTGAGAAAAAAATAGACAACAGAATCAGATCCACCCAAAATGTCACATGAGCTAGCAAGAGACAAAGATACATCTTAGTAAGTAGAAAGAAACAAAGGAAGGATTTGAAAATATCAAAAAGGAGCCGGGAGATAGGAGTTAAGGTGAAGCCTTGTCTGCCAGTTCGTCTCTGGTACCAACCACATGATCCCCTGAGCACAACCAGGAACAACCCTCAAGGCCCCGAGCACCACCAGAACAGCCCCGGTAACCCCCAGCCTGGCACCCTCAGGCCCTTGCATTGAACAGTCACTTGGGAGGTTCTGGAAAAATAAAGAAATCAAAACTTTATAGCACAGATGAGCTTTTTGTTTGTTGTTTTCATTTTGAGGCTATTCCCAATTGTGCTCAGGATTTGCTTCTGCATATCAGGGGTCACTCCTAGCAGTGCTTAGGGGACCATATGAGGTTCAGGGAATCGAATCTGGGACAGCACCTGCTGTATCATTACTTCAGCCCAGAATAAGCTTTTTATTTTTGTGTGTATTTGGGGACAGGGTTGTTTGTTTGGTTTAGGTTTGGGGCCACACTTGGTGATGCTCAGGGGTTATTCTTGATTCTGAACTCAGAAATTACTCCTGGCAGTGCCCAAGAGACCATACGGGATGTGAGGAATCAATCTTGGG